GAATAATGTCTTACCATCTAGAATCTCTAATTTTTATATATACATAAATGCCAATTATTACTTGATGTTGCAATCATCAAGTGATGATGACAATGCCATGTGTGAAATTCCTTTCTATTCTTAAAATTTGAAGTATTTGGTCATGCTACGGGATTTGCAGGTAAAATGCTTTGCAAATGTCAAAGATAATTTATTACATTCTTATAAGAATCTTTGAACATAAATCTTAATATAAAGTATCTATGAAGATTCTTAATCATCCAGGTCATAGTTGTATCAAAAGTGGTTTTTATATTTAAGTTGTCTTCCCAAAAAAGAAAAATAACAGTTCAGTTTGCCTTTGTAAAAAATAAAAACCACTTTTAATTAATACAAACTACTTAAACACAATTGTTAAAGTTATATCAATCTAACTCTGTGTCAGGTGAATACTTCATGTTAAAATGAGGTAGAAGCAGTTCTCATACAAGGACTATATTAATTGATGCATAATTACCATTGCAGCAGAACTGGGGTTTTTTTGGGGGTGGGGGGAGGATTAATATGTTGTTTTGAAGAGGTACTCCTCTCAAGCATCCCAAAGTAAGTCTTCTGAATAATTTTTGAAGTAAACACTACACTACTAAATAGTACTATTTTCAATAAAGGGGGTTGTGGAGATAGGTGGATGTGGGTTGTGGTGATAGGTGGCTGTACTTTTCTTTCAAACTTTCAGTAAAACACATTCAGGTCATCTGCTAGTTGTTGATTTCCTTCTGCCTGGGAAGGAGGTTTGCTGTAGCCAGTGCTTTTTAAGTTTTCCACATATTTGCTGGTTCATTTGTTGAGAACTGATTCCTTAAATTTTCAGAGTAGCTTCTTTTTGCTGCTCTGATCTCTCCTTAGTATGTTTCTGGCCTGATTGTATAGCATTCTGTCACCTTTTCTGTAGGCTTCCTCTTTGGAACGATGTAGCTGCTCAAGTTTAGCTGTGAACCAAGGTTTATTGTTACTGTGATGACCTGTAGTCCCTCAAAATAACCCCAAACCCAAAACATATATTAAAGCCCAGTAAAGCCTTCAACTTAACTTCACTGTTTTATTAGGCACAGTTTAAAGTCACAAAAGTAAATAAGTAAGCAAACAGAAAAACCAAAACAAACCGCATTGATGAGAGTTCTGAAGCAAGCCAAGATAACTAATTATAAACTCCAGGAAAATAACCGAGAAAAGTCCACGTGAAGAACGCCAGCAAAGATAAGCCTCTTTCAATGACTTCAGCAATTCTAACTGTGCAGTTGCAAACTTATATACATAGCTCCCACCTGCAAGCCATGAGGAGGATCATGGTAATCTCCTCCTGAGTAGACCTCGCTTTTCCCTGATCCTCTCCTCCCTGCGTGACCTAGGATGGATAGGGGATGGGCCTGGATCCTCCTCTGACTGCTCAGCCGGCCTCTGCCCTTCCCCAGCCTCCTCCACCACCTCTGGAGCCACACTCCCACTCCCTGTTGACTGTTCCTCCTCTTCCTCAGAGTCAGACTCCACCAGAGGCATGACAGTTACTATATATTTGCAGGTTCCTTGTTGGTACCCATAAGTCTTTGCAGAAGCTGACATATGATGTTACAGCATCTGTGAGCTCATCTAGGTCTGCAGAGGTATCTTCAAAAACATTCCAATCAGTGCAATCAAGGCAAGCCTGGAGCTTCAGCTTTACTTCATCAGACCAAGTCCTCACTGATTTAATTGTTGATTTCATGGTTTTAAGTCTGTCTGTAGGCAGATACAAGGTGAATCATGCAGTGATCAGAGTGTCCCACAGCTGCTTGTGGTAAAGACCTATAAGGATCTTTTAATGTTGCGTAGCAGTGGTCTAAAGTATTTTTTGCCTCTGGTGGGACAATTTACATGCTGGAAATATTTTGGGAGTTCTTTGCTTAAATGTGCTTGATTGAAATCTCCTAAAATGATGGGAAGGAAATCTGGGTGTTTGCCTCCATAATTTGATCAGCTAGAGTTTGTAATGCCTTGTTTACACAAGCTTGTGGAGGAACATACACAGCTATTAGGAGAAATGTGGAGAACTCACCTGGAGAATAAAATGGCTTGCAGTTGATATGTAAAGACTCTAAATGTTCATCACAGAATTTATATGTTATAGTTATATCCGGAGACCAGCTGTTGTTGATATATAAACATAATCCTCCACCCTTTGTTTTACCTGATGTCTCTTCAATTCTGTCTGATCTAAATATCTGAAATCCTGGGATGTAAATGGTGTTGTTCCCATGAATTTGTGCATTAAGCCAGGTTTCAGTAAAACAAAGAACTGCTAAATTGTAGAAATCAGAATCCCATCTATTTAAGAGATGTATTTCATCCATCTTGTTAGCAAGTGAGCGTAAATTAGTCAGAAAGATTGAAGATCGTTTACCTCGTCTCCTTTTTCAGTGCTGTGCTTCTCTGCTTTGTTTATTGTAATCCATAGCACCAGGGAATTAGTTAGAATCTCCTCCTCCTTTGCAAAAACAGTTTTTTTGTTTTTTTTGAGGGATCAGAAAATTAATCCTTAAGGAAACATTGCCTAATTATTAGCAGATGGTCTCGTATGAAATCCGTAGTGAATTTCAGATAATAATAAAGAATAAAGAAACCATTAGACAGCATTTCACCAAGGCTGAAAATGGGCCTGTTTCGGCACTTCTGGTATTTCCAGAAGGCCTGTGTTTCTGCCTCCTGAGGCTGCAGAGGCTTCCCTCGAGCCTCCAGGAGGGCGAAAATGGCCTCAAACATCTGGGAATGGCCGAAAATCAGCTGGGAATCGTGCACATGTGCAGTTCAGGTAAATTTGGCTGGGGCTCACGTGCCCACACAAATAGCTCTGTGTGCCACCTGTGGCATGCATGCCATAAGTTCGCCCTCACGGATGTAGTGTGTTTCAGTAGGCAAGAAGCAGACCAGCATAGCTACAACAACATTTATTGATTCAAAACTGGAACTCAGGAACAGCAGGCAAATGCCTGTAATTTATACCCTGGACCCACAGGGCTTTAACCAATCATAATACTTGAAAAAGCCCGCCCAAATATGAATGTTCTAAGTTTCCTTCCAAAACAGTTGGAATTAACAGTTAGGGTCCTCTAAAGGTTAGTTTCACTTGAGCAGGGCTTAACACAACTTTATATATTCAATACGTAACAGATTTAATCTTAATATACAAGATATGGATTATATTTTACATCAGTATAGAACACATATACAGAAAACAGGTTAGGAGAGTGAAAGAGACAGGAAGGGGATTTGAAACACTTCATTCCACTTCATGGTCCCAGGAGTAGAAAGAGTCTTCAGCAGTTTGCAGAAGAGAGTCCTGCACTGTATCACTAGCTGTTCACCAATGTTTTGTGACCAGGTCAGCTAAGCAAGCATTAACTCAACAAGCGGTTTTCCAAGCCTATGGTTCCTCTGAAGTCAGGGACTCATATTTGTTCAGAGAACAGGTATTTGTATACCATTTCTTTCTCTTAATCTGATTTCAGCTGTTCAAGAAAACCCGTTAAACTCTGTTAAAGAGACTTGAAGGATGCCTCAAAGAACTTCTGAAATAAGCAAAGACTGGCAAGAAGTTCATTCCTAGGATCTCAGCTCCTGCGTCCCCTATGATTTACTTCAGCATGGAATGAAGATAAAATCTCAACATGAGATTTCTTTCTCCCTAAGAAGGCTTTAAAAAGCAGGATTTTTAGACTAGGTCCCTCCAATATAGACAATTCAAAGGGGCAGCTAAATTATCCCATCACCTAGCTCCAAAAAAAAAAGACCTCCCAGTTCTTAGAAATATGCTTGGAAATATTTACAAGATCATCCTCTTCTTTTTACATTCATACCCACTGACATTCATGAGCATTGATTATATTTCTAATGATATTAATATTTCAATAGCAAAAATATCTGGGATGGATGGCTCTAGATTACTATTAGATGGAAGTAAAAATATATAGAAAATTTCAACGCTTTGCTATCAATTAATAATAATTTAGGGTTTTGCAACCAAGTTATGAAAGCATTTTCAGCAGGATGTCAAGTGCTGCTTCCATCTCTCCAAAACAGTTATTCCTGGTTCAGCATCACCATAAACAACATTAGCATCCAACCTGGTAAAAAGTGATGTTTGCAAATGGGAAGATGGAGAATGAAAATAAGACAAAGAGGATCTCTCTCAAAAAAAATTGTTCTACAGTTATCCCATATTTATCGAAAGCCTACTAGGATAGGAAGAAGCTTTTCTTCCTATGTAAGGTTAACATGTTGCAATATTAAGATTTCAGAGGTATGAGTAGGAACATCAGGAACAATTTAAAAAGCAAAGATGGTAGCTATAGTCATGGGATCAAAGTCTGCGCTCCTTTTTAGGTGAATGATATATACAAAGTATACAAGCGGATGCAGGCTTTAATCATGCAACCGCATCTTGACTTTTTAAAACTTGCATCCCTGCAATAGATGCACCTGAATGAAAGTTTTTCAAGACAAGTTGAAAGGCAAAGCTTTTTGACCAAATTGGAATTATGACATTCCTTTTCCTACCCATTGATATGCCATTTTTATCCTTTTGATTAGACAATACAATCACAAATATTGCATTTCTTTTTAATTTGTTTGCTGGATTTTTATTACATTTCTCTTCAGATATCTGCATATGGTCAAGATGGATTGTTACATATTATGTTAAGTTAATAATTTATACCAGGGGTCTCCAACTTTGGCAACTTTAAGGCTTTGGACTTCAACTCCCCGGAATTCTGGCTGAGGAATTCTGGGAGTTGAAGTCCACAAGTGTTAAAGTTGCCAAAGTTGGAGACGCCTGATTTTATACATCAGCATGAAGGATAAACTTTATTTTTATATTTCATTTGTCATAATCTCTAAATATATTAACAATAAAAATACACAAATAATGTAATTCTTAATCATGCAAGATAGTCATAAAAATCAAAACAAATTTACAATATTTTTTCCAAGTTTTACTTTATCCTGTATTTGAAAAGTCTTATTTCTTCAAAGCCACAACTGCATAGCATCTGGGGGATTTTATGGGATCAAATAACTTTACAAGTCCAGACCAGGCAATGTTTTCCTGTAAAATAATATTTGATCAGAAAACATCAAAAAGAGATTAACATGAGATTTAGCAATATATTGAAATAAGGAAAAACCATGTTATAAATAAAACATGAACAGTAATTAATCCTCCAATATAGATCAACATTATTCACTATTCACAATCTTAATAATATTGGTGTAAAACCCTTTATTGGTTTTGACTCAAGCCAATGGGAAATACATCTTTATATGCTGCTGGAATTAAAAAATGACAAATCAAGTAGCATAAATCCTAAATGGTCACAAATCAAGTAGAATGAATCTTAAGACAAATGTATCTGCCACAGAAGTACAATCTGTTATAGACAGACAATGGATTAATATTCAAGAAACTATGTCTTTAACTTTAAATCCTTAACTTAGAGCAGGGCTGTCAAACTTGTGGCCTGCGAGCTGAATGCATCACACACTGGCCACACCCACACCTGGTTTAGCGAAGGGGGAAAAAAGTCACAATATGTCACGTGATGATGCCATGACAACTTGAGTTTGACATCCCTTAGAGCAATTAGTAATTCACAAAATAATTTTACAGTCACTTGGTAAAAATTATCAAGGATCCACAATGTATAGACATATTTTTGAAACATAAATATAAGATCTTAAAATAACAGTTGCACAAAAGTCATTTACTATTTCAAGCATTAATAATTAAGTTTTCTATGTAGGCAATATCACTTCAATATTACTGCAGTAATTTAACAAGCAATTTAAACTACACAAAAACTTTATTACAGCAAATTTTCCCAAAATAAAAAAAACATTTGCTGGTAAATGATGGATGTGATAGATTAAACACACGAAAACAACTATTTCTTTCTTTTAATATGATTTTCTTCAAATACTTTAAAAAAAACTTATATCATGGATAAATCCACCAAGAATTACCTGTTCTTTGAGATAGCAGAGACGATCTAGAAGTATCAACACCTCTATGCAAGGTCCTAGAACAACTTTCAGCTGAAAATTTAAACACAACTGAATCATATTTCTAAAATGCATACTCAAGAAGAAAGAAATACTACCTACAACACAGATTTAGATTTCTTAATTAAATATTTGAAGGTAAACTCTCATATGATCTCATTACTTCCAGGATATTAATTATTAAAAATGTATGAATCAATTCCAATCTGGTTCAAAATGTTAATCTCATTTGGATTGTTTAATTCAGTGGTCGCCAACCAGTGGGCTACGGCCCACCGGTGGTCCGCAAGAAAATTTTGGTGGTCTGCAGAGAAATGTCACCCCCAGAGCACCCCCCAAAGCAATTAATCCAGGCTGCGCAGGAACACAAGTCTGCCCCACCCACATGGCCCGCGGGAACCCTCCCTGCCCACTCAAACTTGGCAAACTTACCTGGCAAACTTGCCTGCTAAGTTGCTATTTTTCCTTTTTTTCCCCCCGACCATCAGCTGTTGTGCTGTGCTGGGAGATTTAGATTAGCTAGAAAGCAGGAAACATTGGATTTCTTGCTTTTAGCTAATCTTTAGATCTTCAGCTCTGCTTTTAAGCAGAGCCAAACTTCCCTTAGGACTGAAGGTTCTATTATTCAGTGCAGACTCAGATAGCCGAAGGCAAAAAGATAGATCTTCGAATCGGTGGTTCTGTGAGTAATTCAATTTGCCTGCCTGTTTGCTTGATTTTGGGTAAAAGTTTCTCTTTTTTTATTTAAAAATTCAATATTTACATACATGGTGTGTTGTGAGTTAATTTTGTGAGTTTGCTTGCAAGCAAATTTTATGTGACAGACTCAAATAGCCGATGGCAGAAACACAAATCTCTAAGTGAATCTGTGATTCTGTGAGCAACTCAATCTGCCTGCCTGCTTTGTCTAATTTTGGGTAAAAGTTGCTCTCTTTTTTATAAACAATTCAATATTTACATAAATACTTATAATATTTACATACAAGCCATGCCCAGCCAGTCACATGACCACCAAGCCACACCCACAAATTAGGCCATGCCCAAGAACCAGTTGTTAAGAAATTTGAATCTCACCCCTGCCTCTGTGGGTTTGTGTGTGTGTGTGTGTGTGTGTGTGTGTGTGTGTATGTATGAGAGAGAGAGAGAGAGAGGGAGGAAGAGAGAAAGGTTAGATAAGATATCTCTCTCTCCCACCAATGTCAGCACCCCACCGTCAGTCAAAATTCATATTAGTGGTCCCCGGGATTTAAAATTATGAGTTTGGTGGTCCCTGAGGTTCAAAAGGTTGGCGACCTCTGGTTTAATTCATAAAACCAAGGCTATTTAAGAAAAGGCTTTTAGAAATAGTTAAAAGATATTATAATTCTCAATTAGATTTGAAAAGTTTAGTTGACTGGGAAAGTCAACTGAATGAGTTTTTCATTGATACTAAGCAGGATTTTTGAAGTGGCTAGGCCAAAACAATTTTAACTGCTGTCAAAAAGATATATTAGGTAACGTAGGGTTTATCCATGACTAATTATTAGCTATTTAATATAATCATGTAAATATTATACAATTATTTTGTAACTTCATAGAACATCTATATTATTTTTGTTTCATGAAAATTTCTGAAATCATTTTTGGCATTTATTGTTTTACTACTGAACAGAAAGTTACTACATTTTCCTACCAAAACTATTGAAGAACATGGAATATTTATCTTAATAAAACAAATTGTGTATTATCTTTCCAATTCCATTTTATTGGACATCTTCAAAAAAAGCAGCATAATCTTGATCAAAGTCTATGAAAGGTGTTAAGAATGGCATCTATTACTTAGTAGTTCTAAGGTGTAACTCAGCATGAAAAACACTTAAGTGGCAGTAATTTTGTTCAAAGTTGAACAAAGCGATGTATTAAAAGGAATATAGAAAAAAACAAGATGGGTCCAAAATCCACCCAGCATTGCTAACACACTTGTTTGGTAAGTGTGTTAGCAAAAGAATCTTCATATGTTCTCAATTGAGTGTTAATATAATTTTGGAACAGAATATGCTCCTAGTTAAAAGCTATTTAGTTTGTTTCCTTCTTTACAGAAAATATCAAACACAAACTGACTGACTTCATCATAAAATGTTACCACAAGTGTTATTAATGCCATGGTAGCAAAAAATCATAATATTTCTGTTACCATATTAAAAGCTTCCAGTTCATTCATTCTGTGCTTGTATTTTTCGAAGTATTCCAATACGAGGCTGTCTGAAATCTGCAACAGCAAGAACATTGATGATGGCAACAACATTTGCCTGACGCATATGCTAAAATTATTTTTATAATTAAAACAGTTCAAAAACATAACAATTATTTTACAATCAACATTTTCTAATTTATTATAATGGCTTCTCAAACTTTTTTCAAACACATGACAATACATAAGAAACTATATTTAAAGTGTTCAAAAAACAGTCTAGTTTCAGTATCCAAAAGTATTTTGTATCAAATCATGAACACATTAATCTGTGAGCATCTTTAAAACATGCAGCAATTATAAATCAGTGAACTTTATCAAGTCTTACCAGAATGTTCTCATGTCACTATTTTTTTAAGAAAATCAGGTAATTTCTGAATATTCAATAAACATAGCAATAGTAATTTATAAACTGAATATGAAACAATATAGCATGACTGTAAAAAAAGGAAATAACATTTTAAGTCACATTAATAGAAGCATAGTTTCTTATTAAATGTTTAAATCAACAATCAGTTTGAAAATCTGTGGCTAGACCTCAGTGCCCGATTAGATTCACGAAGCATGAAGAGTGAAAAAACTACAGAATAGAATAGAATACCTTTATTGTCATTGCATTCTACAAATACAATGAAATTTGAAAGCTACTCCAGCACAGTGTCCCAAACATCACATCACAATCACACTAGAGTATTTAAAAATTACAATAATTAAAATAATAATTAAAAACCTAGTCTAAAACCTATCTAAAACATATAGTAAGTTAGATAGTTTAAAAATGCCACATAGGGCTAAATCACATATGCATTGTTTGATTCAAGACAATTATTGCCTTGGAAAAGAAATTGTTTCTCAGTCTATTAGTCCTCATTTTAAGACACCTATAACGCCTCCCTGATGGTAACAATTTGAAATATGAATGTCCAGGATGAGAATGGTCTGTGGAGATTTTTAGTGCTCTAGAGAGGAGTCTGGTCTTCTCAATCTCTTCCAAAGAAGAAAGAGAGCAACCAATGATTTTTTGTGCTGTGTTTATAACACTCTGGAGCATCTTCTTATCCACTACAGAGCATCCAGAATACCACACCGTTACACAGTATGCCAAAATGCTCTAGATGGTAGAACGGTAAAAAGTAACCAGCAACTTCTCACCCAGGCCACTCTTTTTCAGCAACCTCAGAAAGTGCAGGCGCTGTTGGGCCTTCTATGCAGTGGCCATAGTGTGGACTGACCAAGTAAGGTTGTCGGAAATACAAGTTCCTAGAAATTTAAAACTATGAACTCTTTCCACACAGTCTCCATTGATATATAGTGGGAGAGGCTCTGCTTTGCATCTTCTGAAGTCTATAATCAATTCTTTGGTCTTTTTGATGTTCAGGGCGAGGTTATGACTCTTGCACCACAAGACCAGTCTGAGAACCTCTGACCTATAGGCCGTCTCGTCTCCTCCTGATATGAGTCCCACCAACGTGGTGTCATCTGCAAATTTTATTATAGAGTTAGTGGGACAAGAGGGAGTGCAGTCGTAGGTACAGAGTGAATACAAAAGGGAGCTCAGCACACAGCCATGTGGAGAGCCAGTGCTGAGAGCAAGAGTGGAGGAAAAATAGCTGCCAATCCTAACAGTTTGGGGTCTGTCAGTAAGAAAGTCCTTTATCCAACAGCAGATGTGAGAGGAGAGGCCCATTTCTAGCAACTTATTAATCAGTATATCCGGAATGATGGTATTAAAAACTGAGCTGTAATCAACGAAAAACATCCTTACATAGCTCCCACTATGCTCCAGATGTTTCAGTGCAATGTAGAGTGCACTTTGTGCAATGAAAGTATTTTCTAGTTTAACCATTTACCTGTACTACCTCAGAACATATACTATACATACTGCATGGTTATATACATAGTTTTGAAACTCCTTTTCAGTGAATAACTGAGATTCAAAATTTAAAAAGTAAAAGCAAAGAGCAAAAAGCTTTCATGTATTGATCCAATAATAGTCAAGAATGTGCTGCTGTTTCATCTCCATCTCTTAATTTGCACTGATTTTATCTGGAAATCATAATTTTAACCAAATTTCTAGCTTAGAAGCAAATGATGGTTTATACCATCTATATTTTTAGATATAACTGATAGGCTCAAATATGGAGGGGCAGAAAACAAGCCACACAGGAAGGAAAGAACATGATTACTGAATCCATTACAGATAACAGATAATCAGAGTTGGAAGGGACTTATAGGTCATCTAGTCCACACACCCCCCCCACTCAAGCGGGAGATCCTATACCATTTCTGGCAAATGGCAGTCCAATCTCTTCTTGAAAGTCTCAAGTGATGGCGCTCCCACAACTTCTGAGGGCAAGCTGTTCCATTGGTTGATTGTTCTCACTGTCAGAAAGTTTTGCCTTATTTCCAGGTTAAATCTCTCCTTGTTCAGTTTCCATCCATTATTCCTTGTCTGGCCTACAGGAGCTTTAGAAAATAGCTTGACCCCTTCTTCTCTGTGGCAGCATCTCAAATATTGGAACACGGCTATCATGTCTCCCCTGGTCCTTCTCTTCACTAGACTAGCCATGCCCAGTTCCTGTAATAGTTCTTCATATATTTTAGTGTCCACTCTCCTAATCATCCTGTTTGCTCTTCTCTGCATTTTTTCTAGACTCTCAACATCTTTTCTATAATGTGGTGAACAAAACTGGATGCAGTACTCTAGGTGTGGTCTTACTAAGGCTTTATAGAGTGGTATTGGTACCTCACTTGATCTCAATTGTATCCCTCTTTAATGCAATTTAGGATTGCATTAGCTTTTTTGGCTGCTGCTGCCGACTACTGGCTCATATTTAGCTGGCTGTCCACTAAGAATCTAAGATCCCTCTCACAGTTAGCTACAATCTAAGAATCTAAGATCCCTCTCACTGCTATTGAGCCTGGTTTCATCCAGTCTATATGTGTACTTTTGGGTTTTTTTTGCCTAAGTGTAGGACTTTACTTTTCTCTACATTGAATTTCATTTCGTTAGATACGGCCCAGTGTTCTAGTCTGTCAAGATCCATCTGGATCTTGAGCCTATCTTCTTGGGTGTTAGCTATTCCTGCCAGCTTAGTATCATCTGCAAATTTGGTAAGTTCCCCTTCTATTCCCTCATCTAAATCGTTAATGAAGATATTGAAGAGTACTGGGCCTGACAGAACCTTGTGGCACCCCACTGTTTACTTCCCTTCATGTAGACTTAGACCCATTAAGGACTACTTGTTGAGTAGGGTTTGTCAGCCATTTGTGAGTCCATCTATGGTGGTGCTATCTATTCCACTTTTTTCTAGCTTACTATGAAGTAGGTTGTGGTCTATTCTTCTTGGACATCCAAGAACTGTCCACTATGCCTAAACTAGCAGATGTACACTTCAATGAATGATCTTTCTATGCAACTATATAATACCTTCTGAAGAACTGAAAGAGAACTTTGTATCTCCAAATCACTAAAACGTTAGAATGTAAATACAAGGTTATGTGCAATTTTTATCAAGGACTTGCCATAATATGTTCACGTAAAAGAGGTCATCAACTCTCGACAGTGCAAAAATACCAATAATAAAAGTCCATGCTTATTTGATCTTGAATGTTTATCTATCAGACATTTGTTCCTTCTTTTCCAACACCTTACTAAATTTTCAGTTTGTTTACTTTAAACTGAAGTCTGTAGTTTGTCAGATGATTCGTGTAGCTATTACAGCTGTTAAAACTGTCAGATTAAACTGAAATTTGGCACTGGGATCATGGACGTTGCATGTGAGTTTATATTTAAAGTACAGTTATCCTTAAAATATTGCATAAATAAAAGATTTTACAACTGTGATATCAGCCTTTCATAATCTCACTTGACAACGGAAACTACATTGTCTTGTTCACGAATGCCTGATAAATACTTCTACTGAAACGCTTATTATAATTTAGATTATCTATTTGCGTTAAAACTCAAGTTAATAAGAAGCAGGCCAAACCAAATTCTAAACAGCTGCAAATAATTTCATACCAAAGTTTGCTTGACCAGGCTTACATCTGAGTAAACTATTGCTAGAATTGCATCATTGCTGTTGAAGAAAATTTCACCAGCAAAAACTGAAGTTTTTTTTAATTTCAGCTGTTTCTCATTAATTAGTTCGAGACATGTATATGAATGTGTATATAAAACACTGTGCAAGACCCAGTTTAAATAAAATAGATATACAGTAATTCCTCCTGAAGGGCCAATTTATATCTTATATACTTAATAAAAGCCATTGTTACTGCTAAGTAAGCAGACAAATAAGTGGAAGATAAAAACATTCTCCTCCCTGAGATTTCATTTATTCCCTGAATTTGAGATAATTTTAACATATAGTTTTTTTAAAAATATCTAAGTAGTGTACGGGTATGAAGTCTAAGAGTATGTGACTATTTTAGCTACATGCACTAAGGCCAAAGATATATCAAGATATTTCATCATGAACAAATGATGCTATCTATGTTCTTTAATAGTAATTCCAAAGGAGAAAAAGAAGGAAAAGTTGCAAAGTTTGGAAAAGAAATGCATTTATGGATGATATAGTGACTTGTCTCTCTGGCAAAAATGTTTTGGGTATCATACAATACAAATAGGCTGTAATATAGGGCTAGTGAGAAGTTAATAGCTATAGGCATATTATCATCCCTTAAGTTAGGGAAATGTGCAGTCCTAGAAGCAATATATTTATAAAACAGAGGTAGAACTGAGAGAGCTCAATGCAAAAATGAGATTGTGCTATCAACATCAACATGTACAGATAAATTATTCTAGATACTTTAAATGTTTTAGATCAATCTATGTATAAAAAGAAGTCAAATCTTATTTACAAATATTCTTTTTCACATTGTAATTACATTTAAATTTTGCAATACCACAATATATTAAGTTATTGCTAAAAGAAATGTTGGTATCATAATGTGCTTCATGAACATTTATTCTTTTTTTTACTAGATCATGTTTCATAACAGATTATGGTAGCAAAACTCATATTCACATTACAGGCTGCTAAACTAAAAGAAACATAGGAATTTCGTGTTCTTTAAATTATCACACCTGTTTCTTGTTTACTACCGCTTGTCAAAGTGAATTTACCTGTTTCATTGTATATTTGATATGATTGACTAATCAATAAGGTATACTATTACTACTGTAATTACTACTATTGTCTCCTTGTGATTTGACAGAGAAGCAGAAAGACTTCAAACTGTATAAAAATATTGATAAATGCTTATTTAAATTTTCATTGAATTAGAAGAGATGTTACACTGGCATGGGATATGCAATGTCCCAACATTTTCTGTAATTGCTGTTCTAGCATCATTTATCCATCTCATTTTACTTTTTAATTACAGTAGATTAAATGCAGAGTGGGGAAATATTCCTCAGATAAATAGCAATAGAAATAGCATTTACATTTATATCCTGCTTCATAGTGTTTTACAACCCTCTCTGAGCGGTTTACAGTCTCATCATATTGCCCCCAACAACATGGGTCTTCATTTTACCGTCTTTGGAAGGATGGAGTCAATCTTAAGCCGGTGAGAATCAAACTCATGGAGTGAGCAATGAGTTAGCCTGCAGTGCTGAATTCTAACAACTGCACCACCATGGCTCTTATAAGCCATAAATATTAATCTGCTAGAAGTTGGCAACAACTATTATATGTAACAGTTTTAATTTTCAGCAAAAATGCATGTTCTCCTTGATCTCAGCATAATTTATTTTACCAAACAAATTACTGAAATAATCTGCAGTGTGTTCACTATAGGAATTTCAATTTATAACCAGATATTTACCTTTGATTCATCTAGTTCAAGCTTTTTCAAGGAAATTCTAACATAATCCAAAAATGAAGATGATTTAGAATATACTTTTCCAATATTACGATCACTGAAATGACAAATTATTTATTCTGTTATTTTTCCAACATCACATGCAAAAAGACACTCAGTTCATGAAGAACAATTCTGCAGTTTTTTTTGAAGAACTGTCTTGGTTTATCTTCCTCATCCTGAGATGTAATGTAACTCATAACTCACTGGCATATTCCCTTCCAGCCTCCCTCCTCTCTACATGTACAGAGAAAGAAAGAGAGGGAGGGAGGGAGATTTAGTACCTGGACAGTTCTAATAGGTCTGAAACAGATACTAGTATGAAATTCTGGAGAATCACTGCCATTCTCACTCGGTACAAGCTAGCTTCCTATCATTTTATCAGCTAACCTACAGTTGTGCTGACTAAATGATTGTAGGAGGTATATATTAACACTATTGCAAACTAAGGTTGATGAAGGCAAATCAAGAAAAGTAGAGAAATGCAGAACTTCTACACTTGCACAATTAGAGATTTAGATATCTGGTTATGTTCTGTGGTCTGCCAGTGTTTACTTAAGGGACTACTTCTTACCATTGACAAAGAAATGCTATAGTGGCATTTAATTAAAAACAAAAATAAAAATATATTTATTGTATGTAATGGTAATCATGTGACCTAGGTACTGTGAAAGTGATAAACGTGCTGTAAAATTTGAATGGTCAATAAGTAAGGATTCTCTGTATTCTAAAACTCAATTCTCAGTTTTCAGTGATAATGACCTATCTTACAATTCTACAACCATGAGCCACATATATTCTCTTCTAGGGGTAGCACAGAATTAAAGCAGATTTCAAAAGGTTAGCTTGCTGACAAAACCCAAATCAAATTTACAGATAGATATTTTTTCAAATAGACAAAAAACAAAAAAAGCTTTGTAAATGCATTGTTCTCAGATTTCAATATCAAGAAGCAAATGTTCTGTTTCTATAACAAAATATAAAAATGCAACATATTACCTTCTCTTGATGCCATAACATTCTTCTACAATAACCTGCAACACAGCCCGATAAAACAAAGATTCTGTGGGTAGCTAGAACAAATAAAAGAACAAGAAGTTAAGCTGCAACCATACCCCACAACCAAAACAGCAACAATTATTAGCTATCTTTAACCAGTATTTGTATTCATTTCATCTAATGTTACTGGAAGTTTCTTATTACTAAAATAAAACATTGCTCTGTTAATATATTGCTACCAAGGGGAAAAAATAAGTAGAAAAGCTTGTGCAGAATTGAAAAAAAAAGCTATAAGAATGACAAAGCCATATATATCAAATTATGCTAATAGGTATTTAAGTTGGACCACATGAATGAACTCATTTAATCTCCCTAAAATCAAGGGAAAACACTTAGCAAACAACTGTCTTTCCCCCCGCTCCTTAGTAACTTCATCTTCTCTCCTTAGCACAAACAGTACTGTTTCTAAAACAATGCAATAATGTAGAATATCTAGGAGAGAGATTTTTTTAGCCATTTTAAAATTCAGGGTCAAATTCATCCTGTATAAATTCCATCAAGATCTATAGCTTTATAATAGGAATACAATGGTTTATAAACCTGGACTCAGTTTATGTACATATTTCAAAAGGGATGATAAATGATATAGTACTTATTTAACTTCTACATAAAAGAAATTTAGCTGTTGATTTAAAAAGAAAGAATATTTAGAGTCCTGCCAACATCTAGCATTTGTAGCAAATCAAAGTAAATGATTCCAAATTTTTGCTATTGTTATATTTTTAGAAATGAAAGAATAATATTTAGGAAAAGTGATTTATTGGGAGTTTTGGCCAAGAGTAGGAAGCCATTTCAATCTAACCAGTGTGTTTCTGGTTAAATGTTGGAATATGAATTAGATGATGAATAATCTAGCTTTAAAGTAATGCTATTCCAGTCTAGAAAGAAACATTGGTACCATTCTTATGAAAACAGCAGCACCACATTATAAGGAAATACAGGCAGCTCTGCAGTTATAAAACTGGAGACGACAAGCATATTCATTTAAACAAACAATTTATAAACATTGACTGCATCACAGGAAACATAGGGAAGAACCCAAATGCAAACAATTCACCTCAATAGATAGCTATTAAATCTCTAGAAAAAATATAGGTGTCCTTATATTTGTTGCTCCATGTAACTATACATCTATATTAATAAATATGTAGAACTTGTCAAATTAAGTGAGTCTAAACTGTACTTATTCCATAAATCATTTGTACTTCAGAAATGAACCTATACTATATATGCTATATATACTGTATATACTATAAAATTACACACACACACACACTATTTGAAGAATTGGCTTCTTTTCTTAATAAGGATATGCACTACTATTCAACACAGAAAGTGAAACTCTATGATCTTCTCAGGGTAATTATTTAGAGAGAATTCCTAGCCTGAAAGATTGGCAAATAGACACAAAATTGCTACAGAATAAGACATTCCAATGTAACATTATTCGATACATGTCCAATTTCAAAGATCTCTGGAACAGAGAAAATGAATGGAGAACTGCTTGCAAGTAAGTCATGTATTCTTGTTGAATTATAAAAATATGAACTTTTAAAATATAACATATATAACATTTTTGTACCTTAATTCCTTTACTGTTGGAAAATTAAGGTTTTTTTAAAATGTTCAAAATAGTAATAATCAAATTATAATACTACAACACCAGTGGTGGCTAACCTTTTTGGGCTCCTGTGCCAAAAGTTGTGCATGTGCTTGCATGCTCATGCTCGGCCTACAAAGCTTGTAGAAGCCTGAAGAAGCCTTCCTCAAGCCCTTGGGAGGCCGAAAAAGGCCTCAAACTGGCTGAAAATCAGCTTTCAGGCACGCACATGCGCAGTGAGGTAAGTTTCCCTGCAGCTCATGTGCCGGCACAAATGGCTCTGCGTGCCACTTGTGGCACACATGCCATAGGTTCGCCATCACAGTACTGTACTATCCTCAACCCAATGAATCAGGATTGATTTTAAACACTGGTACTGCGATGAAATAAGAATCACAAATCATTTATATGGTTTTAATATACAGGTGTTCTTGCTTAATGGCTACTTGCCACAGTGACCATTCAAAGTTATAAGGCACTGAAAAAATTGTATGTGTGTGTGTGTGTGTGTGTGTGTATTCTTTCTCACAGATGAACACAATACAGAAGCCTGATGATGGCAGATGAGATTCTGCTGAAACGTTGCTACAACTTTAAAAGCACAACTATAATGACGTGGGTAAATACCCGAACAAAACTGAATACCATATATATAGCCGTCCATTTACTCGGAGCCAAGCTGCACTAAAAGCCTCCAATACAGGAACACAATGTTGCCAGCCAATCAAGACAAAAAAAGCCACAAAACAGACAGAAGATATTAGAAACACCAATCAAGCAGAACACAGCAAACTCCAAGACCAATAAACACAGACTAAGACTCCCAACCAATCAGGATGAAGAAAAAACCATTCTGGCACAGCAGTAGGCTAGCCCCAAATTTAAAACAGAAATGGCTGTGAAAGTCTGACTCACAGACGAACACAATACAGAAGCCTGATGATGGCAGATGAGATTCTGCCGAAATGTTGCTACAACTTTAAAAGCACAACTACAATGATGTGGGAAAATACCCGAACAAAACTGAATGCCATACATGTAAGTACCCGCGAAAACTTATTGTGTTCGGGTCTTTTCCTGTGTAAGATTAAGAGTATCTTGGTGACGTTTCATCGAGGTCCCACTCGCCGAAACGTCGCCAAGATACTCTTAATCTTACACGGGAAAAGACCCGAAGACACCTAGACCTACACACACACCCACACACATATCTCCTGATTTGCAACCTTCTTTGGCCAGTTCCAACAAGCAAAGTCAATTAGAAAGCCAGCAGGAAGTTATAAATGACAAGTGATGTTCCCGTTTAATGACCAATAGTAATCTGCTTAATGATGGAAAGTAGGAATGCCAGAATTTCCACTGCTAAGTAGCATGATTAGACGACTTCTTGCTTTATGACATTGTTTAGCAACAGAAATTCCAGTTCCAATTAAGAAACTTGTTAACTGAGGATTATCTCTATGTTCCTTATATTTTAGTCACTCTTAATTAACTGAATAAATTATTCCGTTAAATTATTTTATCACAACGAAGGCCAGAAAATGTCATGGTGCTGATGATGCAAAATATCAATCTATCTCCAGTTCAAGCTTTACTGTTTGCCAGCTATTCAGCTCTAACAAATTACAAAGTTCAACATAGTTATATGTTGAAATATTCAAAAAAAGAAAATAACTGTCATTAGAATGGTTAAACAGATATTACTTACCATCTGACCGACTGCAACTCTTTCCAGAGCCTTTAAAAAGAAATTAATGTATTTATTCATTTAGCTAACTTTATAAATAAGCAGACTTAATGAAATAAAAATATTTTAACAAATTATATATTAAAATGCTTGTTTAAAAAATGTAATCACTTCATGATATTTAAAAATATAATATTTGTATTTGTGTTTGTAATATATACACACACAAACTGATCACTCTTTTCTGCAAAGAGTCAAGATGATACTGAGCTGTTTATTTTATACGTTATATTTTTTCCAAACTTAATGAATAATTATTTTTAGTCTCTTGTTTTCCTAATTCATATTTAGTGAAGTCAAGTACATACATTTGGAACATATGACCTTAAAATGATAATGTAGTTTGAAATGTGCAATCATGAAATAAAAATTATTAGATTAAAGCAGGATATAAATTCACTTCTGCAAAATTACAAAATAATGCATCAATGTCTCCTCATTAATATATAAACTTAATAAAGTAGAACATCAATCCACAATCTCTATGCTAATATTAGATACTATCTCTGCAGGTCTCTACCTTGCTGAATTAAAGTTTACTGAACTAAATTCAGTTTGTTCATTCAGTTCATTCATAATTATTATGCTTCCTTTCACACTTGAAACATATAACATTCTGTTAGGAAGTTTCTTTTGGGCTTTAGTAACAAAAGCTACAAACCAGGGCTGTGCATGATTTGCAAATGATTCTGAAGAATTGCTTTAAATTCTATGCAACTGTAAACTCAACATTCTCTACTAGTAATAAAAGCAGATGCACTGTTTTCATATTTCTGTGCAATCCAGAAAAAATATATTTATTACAAGCTTAATACCCGTGCTTCGCTACAAAACTATGTGGTCGGGCTTAATTTTTGGGGAGGAAAATAATGGGGGAAAATTCTGCCTCTGCCTACCAGCATTGATCAGTATTCATCTGGCTAGCGTCCTATCAGTGTGTGAGAGAGTTGAAGGCTGTTTGGAACCTGAAAGAGTATTTGCTGTGTGAGCAAGGAGACAGCAAGGAGCCTGACCGTGGCTTAGCTCAACTGTTCTGTACTGAAGCTGCTTGGTGCTATGAAACTAAAACTGAAACTCCTTTCCTCTTCTTGTGTTTTGCATTTGGAACAGATTTTTTTTCAGGTGGGGAGGGGGAGTAGAACTTCTTAGCATCAGAATGTGTTAATAATAATATACAAAATACTAATGCTCTTGTGGTCATTTCAAAAAATCCTTTCTTAGTAAGCACCTAGAAGCCAAGAGAAACATACATGTCAAATTTCAAATTTGTAGGCTTTATGGTTAGGAACAAAATGAAGTGAAACAAGCAGCAAGAAAACAAAATAGCAAGTAATATGGCTTTGTCTTAAATGGTACTTTTTAAAGAAGTCAGGTCATTAAATTGACTCTTAAAAAGTATCAGCATCCTTTTTCTACTTCACACTTGTGTTGATTTTTTTTAAAAAATCAGAAGTTGATGGATGAACAAGATTAAGATCCTGGGGGCTTGAGCATTTTGCACTTAACTTTTGATCCAAACCAGATTGTGTCAGCTTTTCACATGGAAGGAATATCCAAACTAGTATAATGTGAATAGGAGCCTTTTCCTCTGTACCAGAGGTGGTATTTAGCAGGTTCTCACCAGTTCTGGAGAACCAGTAGTGGAAATTTTGAGTAGTTCAGAGGATTGGTGGTAACCTTCCTCCAGGAGTGGGGAGCCATGCCCACAAAGCCACACCCACAAAGCCATACCCACCAAGCCACGCCCACAGAACCAGTAGTAAAAAAAATTGAATCCCACCACTGCTCTGTACATAACATGTGGTATACACAGAGTTATCCAAGTCTCTACTCATTTGACTAGATCCTGACTGGCATCCACACATTTGCTTGAAAAATCGCAACATTCCACAGTTGTTAATTTCCTGACTTATTTCACATCTAGTTAGACTCTTCTTATATGCACTTATTAACTTTTATTATAAACTTTTGTTTTCAAGTTTCTTTTAATTTCTCATTTTTGTAATTACATATAACATATGAACAATTATCACTGAAGGAATGTCAATGCCATTCAAATACAATATTTTACTGACAAATCTCATGAATTTATATTTTTACTTTCTGCATCTTGCCAGTTAATTTTTTTTTACGTGAACTATTAAAATTCATACAGCTTTTATTCTTTAAAAAAATCTAACAAAAAAGTATACAATTTTAAATCAACTTCCTTCTTTCTATTTTTCTCTACGGCACCACATTCATGGTTAGAGATACGATACATATTGAAGATTGAAGAAATAAATAATAACATCCTACTTTTTAATATGGCAGAACTATGTTCCCAAAACATTTGTTAAACTGTTGAGAGGCCAAAATGAATGGAATTCAGCTATTGTTTCCCCCCCACCCCCCAAAAATCCCTCTATGTAATCATATACAATTGTACATCAGTAAAAATTAGACTTTTTATAATTCCAGCAAGTGTTAGTAAAAAGATATATTTAGCCACTAAACAATTTGCAATTTGTTGGCTACACAGAGAGATAAAAGTATTTTATTTGAATGGTCAAATCTATTGACAGTCTTTCTAAAAAGGATAACTTTTAATTATCTTCCCTATTTTAAAATCTGAGCAGAGTGTTCAAAACAAAAATAGAGAAAGTCAAAGAAACAACAACAGGAATGCATATGAATGTCCAGTCAGGAGATCCAGATGATCTCTCTTCAGCCATCTTCTGAAATGAATACATGCTAAAACTCAAGAACTATTTTAGGATTGTGTTGCCCAAAATATGGTTCACAGCCTGGTATCAGTGGTTGTAAAAAAAAATATGGTCCTTAGAAAATATACTGATCTCTTTTCTCTCCAATCCAAGTGCTACAGTCAATCTTGCAAGCACTCTAATCAGAGAATAGGAACTTTTGGACAGAGTTGGATTAAAGCCTTAAAATCATGTTTTATGCATACATAAAAACCGATTGGCCATTTTCTGCATGTATAATATAATAACAAACTTGACAGAAAAGCCGTAGTCCCTAACTGTAACGATTTGGGAAATCTTATTTTAGGAGATAATTAGTAGGTACCTCAGCCAATCAAAATAACTTGACTGTATTTAAAATTCTATGGGTATGTTTTTTGCCTTCTTTATTACATTTTCCTTTTTTCTTAATATATTATTTTATTGGCTTAGTTGATTTAATAAGGAGATTTCTCATTAAAATTTTCCCCACGTGAAAGACTGCATAAATTGGCAACTTCTCTTGTATTTCAGAATTGCCACATGGCTTATTACACATTTTAGGATTGTTGGCTATTCAAAGGCAATTTCCTTTCTGTTCTTCCTGGGTAGACTGAAAGAGATATCCTTGTTGGAAGCAGTAACAATATTTCAACCAAACAGAATAGGTATATCAGGAGGTTCTTCTTTAATTGATGACTACCAATTATAATTATGAGGTACTTTTAGAAGAAGTCTGCCAGTATGGTTGTAAACCAATCCTAATCCCAGCTATAAAAATGTATAACTGAAATAGAAATAGCACTTAAGACTTATATAGCACTCCATAGTGCTTTACTGCACTATCTGGGAAGTTTACAATGTCAGCGTATTGCTCCCAAAAATCTGGGCCCTCATTTAATTGAATTCGGAAGGATAGATGCCTGAGACTAGGATTGAATTGCAGGCTGTGGGTAGTTTGTCTACAATACTATTTTCTAACCACTGTGCCACAAGGCTCTTACAATAGGACTAAAGCATCCCAAAATCCATTTTCTTTTCTTTCCAAAATCCAGTTTCTGTCAATATAAATATTAGGTCATGCAAACTATTTCACAAATGAAGTATTTTTAAATACATTTTCTTTGGCCATGTTCTTCACAAATGTGGAACCTATCCATGTAGACACATGCTAAGATTTGGGACGGCCTCAAGGCAACTACTGTACGTTGACCCTTTGAGCAGTATAGCTGCTTCACAACTTTGAAAATGGATCTGTGTGTGTGTGTGTGTGTGTGTGTGTGTGTGTGTGTGCTTAATTTACTTTACCGAATGATTTGCAGGTCTTCCTGGTACAATATTTGCCAAATATGGTACTGTCTATGTCAAACAGAGATATCTCAACTAGCTTGGGAAACCTCCAAATTTTAAAAATGCTAAGAATGAGAAAAGAAAAGAAAAAGAAAAAACTCTAAAAGATGGAGAAATATACTTTAAAAAAAACTAAGAACACTGAGGTATTTAGAAACCAAGAACACAGAACACTTATAAAAAACTTTTACCAGATCCGTAGAATCACTTAAAAAAAATAAGTAAATTTTGTGTTCCAAGATTTTTGTTCACTTTTTAGATAGGAATTATTTGAGGAATACTCCACAACCGTTCAAATACTAATGCTGACAGGTGCTATTCAATTACATGAATCAATAATAGTTCAATTATCTGCCAAAAGAAGGCAGAGCTGAAGAAACTTCTTAGATGAGATGCAAAACGTCTTCAAACAAAAAACTGAAAGTCCAGTTGCCTCTTGAAAAAACACTTTTGGGATAACCATGACCAGGATGACTGAGAATCTCTATAGACATAATTTCTTATATTATTTAACATATATTCCACATAAAAAATGTAAAATGTATCCTACTATATTGTTATTATTAATTATATTTTTCTATTGTGCAAATACAAGGTCAATGATAATATGGTTTGTCTGAAAACACATTTAATTTTTTAAAAATGTAGAAGAGAACGATGCAGTGGGAGGAAAAAAGAATGTATCTTTATTCTCATCAGGCTACTGAAGGGGGGAAAAAGCTAAGTGCAAAGAAAGCAACAGCTGCTTGAATGCACTTGCTGGAATTATGAAAATAGAGGTAGAGGATGAGCAAGTCAAAGGGGCAAAGATTGAAGTATATAAGAGGATCAGACAAGGATTAAATAATCATTTGGTTCATAGGAAAGATGTTTCAACACTGCATTGCAACCAGAAGCAGCGAAGCAAACCTAATTTCTGATTTGTTTAACATTCTGCTACCCATTCTGATTTATAGTTAGCTTTTGTGAAAATGCTAATGAGTCATATGAATTTGAATCTAACTAGAGAGAGGATTTAAGTGTCAGAAGAACAGACACTCAAAATAAATTTGCTTAAAAATCTGAATGCATTTCATGGCTTGTCACCATGCTATGATAATATAAAGTGGAAATGAATAAATATTACATATTTAAAAATTCAGCTGTGTCCATAGCTGTGAGCAACACAATAGTCAATTGCATGTAGCCTAGCATATTTAGCAAATCCATTTATAATTTACAGAGTTCTCTATTGATGCAAACCCAGAAAGTAGGATTAAGTAAATGATGGTTACCTAAATATCAGGTAACTGCATTATGGATATATAGTCATTCTATTAAAAAGACACCATAGATCTGATTCTGCAGTGAAAAGGCCATCTTATTCACTATGCAAGTATTAGAACTAGTAAAGACTAACGAAATTGGCAATTGTACTGCATTTTCACTGACTTTTTCCTTAATTCTCTTCTTTTACATTAGCACTTCTCCTCTAAATTTAATAAAATATGGATTCAACTCAATCAGATTTGATTATTTTTTACCAGTGTCCATTGTTTCAAATTTACAGAGACACAATATGCAAATATATTTTCATTTTGTATAAATGATCATTATTTTTGTTAATTGATATATCATGATCTATTACTCAACACATTCTGAATTCTGTGCCAAAGCTATGAATTTGCAAGTCAAACAGAAGCAGAACAAAAAGGAATCCATACCAAACAGGCAGCCATTCTAGCATTACGACCACAGAACCATCCCTCTTCTTTCAAATAGCGGCCCAAAGGGAAACCCCATATTCTCTGAGTCCCTTCTGCAGAAAAAAGTAAAACAATTATATTGTTTCGTCTTGTATATATCAATCCATAAATCCCTTTATGAACACCTATGTCTGTGTTCAAATCACGTAACCATAAAAAGCAATGACATTTTATGTTAATGAACTGTGAAAATGCAATTCTTGCAAGGAGTTTAACAATCTGTTGTATGAAGCAAGAAAACTGGGTTAATTAAAGCATGGTAGCAATTTACGATATGGTTTAAAATATGGGTGTAAGAATGCAACTTAAACTGATTAACAAAACATAGTGTATTAATAGAAATTATTTTGAAGCTATTTAAGTCACTTGTTTATTTCAAATTTATTAAAGCTATCCAAGTTCAATGAATTTGGATCTAACAGTCTGAATAAAATCATTTCAATTAGGAATTATATTTAAAAAGTGTGTGTGTGTGTAAAATTCCTTTCTCACCCCTATGGGTGGTATGTGTGTTCCTCAATTCAGGTTTTCTACTAGAGGTCTGGGAGTTTGAGGGTTCTTAGCTGTTTCTAGCACTGCACTCTTTTGGACAGAGAGCTCTGATGTCATTTTTAGGATCTGTTGATCTCTCAGTTTAGGAGTCACCATCCGGTGTGCTCCTACCATTATTGGGACCACTTTTGTGTTTCCTTAACACATCCTCTCTAATTCCTCCTTCAGGCCCTGGTATTTCTCCATGATCTCATACTTTCTTGCTGTTGTTGCTGTACATTGGCATGGCTGCATCTATCACCATTGCTGAATTCTGATCTATTACCATGATATATAGTTGATTGGCCAGTACCTACCTGTCAGTCAGGATCTTAACCCTGTAATTCTCCACTACCTTCTGTGGCATGTCCCATCTGGTTTAGGAAGCTCTAGCCCATACACTGAGCAGCTATTTCTCATGAGACAAGAGAGTGAGTGAGTGAGTGAGTGAGTGAGTGAGTCAGTCAGTCTATCTGTCTATTTTTTAATGAATTAAATCCTTCCTGTAACAGAATTATTTTTTAATTCAGCACATTATTCAAAATAATAAATTAAATTAATAAACAGAATGTCTATTTTCTTTTTATCACCATACTTATGCTAGCCAAACAGGAAGGGATATTTAATTGAACTTGAACATGTGAAATATTTCTTCTTGTAGCTTTACTTCAGCCTAGTAAGGTACATACTGTATATCATGCTGTGGTAAAAATCCTTGTTCACCTCACAGGTTGCGATCACTAATAATGATTTATTTTTGTTTTAATGTTGCATAAAGACAGCCATTTGTGTTAAGCCATACACTATAACAATGTGTGAATACCCAGCCAGTTGTAACTTATTACACAAATCATGGTAAAGTAAAAGAAAAAAATGACATAAAAATGATGGCAAAACAGGAAACAACCTCGACTGTCCTTCATCGGTTATTTTGCACACAAGCCTGCAACAAGGATTTGATGGATATATATTTAATAGTTATTTTGATGGAAGAAATCAGTGAAGGAGAAATTGCTTTTAAATCACAGCAGGGTACAGCATGTAAACATTGTAAAAGAAAACTGGGATTGCATCGTGTGACACAGTAAGCTAAATTTAATTCACACTTGTGAGTCTAGGCTATTACCTTTAAGAAGCCAATAATAAAAAGTAGTTTAGCCTGATGGAAAACATATACACATGTAAAAACTCTTTCAGAAATACACAAATATAAATATAGGTTTTAAATATGAAAATAGATTTTGTAGTTTCACCTCAAAGACAGAAAATCCTTCATGAAAATATGATATGATATTCATATAAAGTGAAATTACTAGAAAATGTCATGTACATAGGCTGTCCCTGAAGATCACTTGGTAGCTACAGGTTGTCCAGAATGCAGTGGTATAGGCAGATGCCTCAATGTGCTCATGTTACACCTGTGCTGTATGACCTAGTTCTCATTCTGAGGTGTCCTTGGTGACTAGCACTCATGGTATTACCTAGTTTGGGTAATAAAATGTCTGTAACAAAACAATCAAGTTCAGAGAGCACTGAAGACGCCTTATTTCAAATACTCCTTTATTACTTTCCATTGTCTTTTGGGTGGAATTCAAGGTGCCAATTGTCATCTATACAATCCACCATGGCATGTGGCCAGGTTGTTTGTGGGGCTACCTGTCCTCAGTAGCATTCTCTAGATCCAGAAAAAAGTCCCTGCTCCAGATCCTTTCAACTAAAAATGTGGACATTTTGCATTTTTCATATTTTATACCACAGAAAAGCATGACAAGCGTATTCCAAAATATATACATATTCCCAAAATTTTCTATACTTTCTGTAATGTACAATATTATACATATGCACTATTATCTCTGAACCTTTTAAACTTCTGTACATGACTTTACATCTATATTGACCACTGCTCATGTTTTAAGCCAGTTTGGATGAGATATTTGCAACTATAATATTCTACCACTAACTTTAAAATGTCACATTCTGAAGTTGAACTGTTTTATAATGAAAATTTTGTAAGCAGCAACAATGTTTCCAGAGACATATATGCATAAGTTACCATATAATGTGTTACCTGAGGTTGTTCTCTGTACATTGCCAGGGGCATTTATTCTTTAAGATGATGGAATTGTAATAATAATGAACAAATATGTTTTTTTTACTGAGGTGAAGTAAAAACAGATGTCTCCACAACCACATAAAGTGTTTTGCATTAATAAGCCTACAACCATTACAAAACTGAAAAAAGAATCCCAAACAGGAAAACCACAGGGCATTCAGAAGTGACTTCTCCACAAAGCATAATTAAAAACAGCAAAAATGATTCAATGACAGGAAAAATGACAAGTATTTATTAATTCCATACACCCTTAAAAAGACTTACCTTCATGAATTTCATGTACCTCTGAAAGCAAATGGTAGCAACAACCCACACTGCAAACTGCCTTGATTTCAGGTACAGCATTAAATAGTCTTAACGTGCTTGGAGCAAGATCACCACAGGTATGCAGACCCACAATTACACAGTCCTAGGAAACAAAACACAATTCAAACCAGGATATGAGGGTTAGATGAGCACATATGCTAATAATTATCATTGTACACATCATAACAATCTTGGACTGAGATCAGTAAATTATGAAACCTAGAAAAATTCTAGTTACTTGAGCTTAAGGCGAGTTATATTACTATTAATTTCCCTCTCATCCAGGGGTGTAAAATAATGGAAAATTAAAAGTCCTTGGCAATCCTCTACCATAGTAATGGGAAGATGGTCTGTTGACAGGATTACAGCAGTTTGGAAGAAGTCTGAATTAGGAAAGTCTGCCTATAGAAATCACTCTTCCCTCCACCATATTGTAGAGAGATATTGCTTTAAAAAATGGAGGGAGTGATTTCTCCTGTTCCTGACCTGTTTTTCCCCTTCCCTATCACTTGTGGAGCAGAGATTGAAGTGGAAGGGATTTCAAGAGAATAAGCAGGCACACAATGGGGCACACCAGGCTATTTAACATAACATACTTACAGCTTCCAGGCCCACAAAGCTTTTGATATGTATTTCCCATTTATGTGTCTGACTCTTCTGAATTCCCCTTTTCTCCAATGAATGCAAATACAAAAAAATAACTTCCTTCCTTACTGGGGTGCGTGTTCTTAAAGGCCAGAGAGTGAGAAAAAGGAAAGTAGTCGCAGTTACATATTTACAATTTAGCAACCTTCATTTAACAACAAACATATCAGTTCCAATTGTAATTGCTAAATGAAGACTGCCTGTATTACTTTTTACATGCAGATTCACTCCATCTTAAATGCATGTTTTACACATTAAAACTTGATGTTAATCTAAAACTATTAGAGTTGCATATAGCATGGAAGAATGTGATAGAACAATAATCTGCTGAGTTCTATTAATTAGGTGGTAATGTATTTCTTGATTTTGTATCCATCTTCCCAAATATTGTCAAGCTGACTTAGACACATTATATCTAAAATGCAACAATCTGAAACAAGAAATTTACTATATACAATTTTTGCAAACACAGCACTGGTAAAATTTGTTTGGTACATTCACTGTTTGATTACATATCTTAATTTACAATTTTTTTTGTCATGATAAATTGAATTGCATTCAAGCATTGGCTCTTCCCATTGTCTTCCTCGCCCTACTTCATACATAATTAAATTAGAATAATCTATACAGGATTTAATTATCTATACACTGTGTATATTGTGCTATAGTCATTATTAATATGAAATAATTAAAATTTGAACATATTCCCAACAAAACTTTCTGGCAAAAAATGTAAATCACATCACATGAACATGGAATATTGTAAAGGAGCTGGTTACCAAGTGCCCAAAATGTAATTATGTGACTGTAGGGATGGGGAGGGAGTGCCAGCATCAGAACTGGGTTATAAGTACATTTTGGGAATTCTGTCATAACTTCAAATTGTCTCAAGTGCCCAACTGTTGAATGAGGACTACATATACATATACGTACATACATACATACATGCGCGCACACACACATACACACACGTATATATATAACATATATCATATAATAATGTAATTGAAATGTTATATATTAATGCAAGTGTACTACGCCACTTTTTAGGAACAATAGTATTCCTATAAATATATTTATCTTGTATCTCCTTGAAGCTCTTAAAGAAAAGTAGTCTTAATTCAACATTTTTCAATTCAGACTCCAAAATCAGATTAAAAAGGAACAAGAACAAATAACCTCCAGATCGCCAACAATATCATGTAGCTCTGTTTCTGCAGTTATGAATGATGTCAACGGAGAATAAATGTTGGCCTCTTTTGACCGACTGGCTTTGGCTTTCAAAGAAGCCACCTTCCTTTGTTCTTTCTCTTCTTCACAGAGTTCTCTGCAATTACTTTTGGATGAACAATCCACTTCTACGGCATCAGTAGGCAGAATATCTAGAAATACATTTTCTGTTATATTGTTTTCAATGAATTGTACCTGAACCTCAGGATTGAGTGCATACTGATTTTTAGTAATGCCTATATTAGGATCTGGGCTAATTTCAGCTGATTCAATACCAAAGGCATCTGAAACAGCCACTTGGACATGGCTCTGAAGACTGTTATTAGTTCTTAACCACGTCTCACTGGCGTTTGCATTACATTTCTCCTTATCTTGTTTTGCACTTTTCTTTGCTTCTTTCAATGTCTGATCTCTGACATTTGCTTCTGCACGTCTTTGATAGGCTGTCCAGTGTTTTTTTAATTTCCTGTTTCTTTCATTAGCTCCATGGGTGTTTGTGTTTGAAGAATCAATTCCATAAACCTTTAGATTATATTGCAATGACAAGAAAGAGCTCAGGTAACCTTTTCCAGAACCCAGGTCAATTACCTAGAATATAAATAATAAGAATTTTTTTAAAGTGGCAGATACTCCTTCTAAAACTCATAAAAGTTATAAGAAAAAAAGTGCAGTTGTTAAAAGTGAAGTTATTTTTAATAGATGGCAATGTTTGAAAGATAAGATTTTATATTAATAAACTATAAATGAGCCTCCTGCATTCATATTTATTTTTGCATTTTATGGGAACAAGCCAGCAACATGAACCACAGAATCTTGTTTATCTAATCATGGGACATGATAGTCAATGGCGAGAAATGGAAGCCAAGAGGCTTCATATCTGGGCATGGATCAAAAATTCTGTTGATCATTTTGTGGAAGACTTGCAACATGACTAGATGAACTGATTTTTTTAAAATCACAAAACCATTTTTCTCTTCCTTTAGATGGGATCTCTCACCCCTAAAGAAGCAGATTTGTAACCTGGAGGTTCTTCTGAACTCAAGAGTTCCTTCTTTACAAGCAAAAAGTATGGCTAGAAAAATCTTTCCACACTTTTGGTGACTATCATTGGATGTTCTTTTCATCTCATGTTTGGATTGCTGTAATGCATTTTACTTGGCACTGCTTCTGCAAGGTATTCAAAAATTAAAATTAATGCAGAATGCAAAAGCCAGTTCAGTAGGTAAGAACTGTTTCAGACAGATTATCACCTGTATTGTGGATGCTGAACTGGCCAGAAATAAATTTCTGGGTACGTATCAAGTGCTGGTTAAGTATTTTATGATTTGAGTTTTTATCCGCAGAACCATCTTCTCCAAATGAAATCTGCCCATTCTGTCATCAGCAAAAAAAAAAAAAAAAGCATAATCAAAATCCAATCCCAGTGTACAGCTAGAGAGATAAGAGTTTAAAACTGGCCTCGATAGCTGTCCAAGCCCTCTGTTACAGCTTGTTCCTAAGGTCAGATTGGTCCCTTCTCTTTTTAAATTTTGGCAATTAGTAAAGACAATTTTCTGTTGAACATGTCGGACAGAGGTGGAACATACTGAGTTTGTGATCTCCTGGGCAAATTTTTGATTTTTTTAAAATCTAGTTTTGTGGTCCAAATCTGGTAGCTCTACTGAAGTTTTATCTTAGAAACAAAGGGCTGAGAAAAGAGAGAAAATCCACATGCCTTTTAACAAGTACTTTCTTGTTAAAATAGGTAAAATCCACCAAAAATACTATTATCTCCAAGAAAGACAAAATAAATTTTATGACATAGGTACCAACAGTACTTGTGTGTATTTTTGTTACACTGAGCTCTTAAAAATGATTAAAGTATTAATCAATTTTAAAGCAAAAATAACCAAACATAAAATTTTATTGCAGACTATTTCTTATTTCATTTTTTTTATTAAAGCTTGTGTTTTTATAAAGTTTTAACTGAAGAATCTTGACCAACCTAGATTGGATCTTGCAACATTACCCTGGGACATGTATATTTGCTTTTATTCTTAAAAATTTCTGTGGAATGGTCAACAAGAAGCCTGTTAATAAAGCATTTTTAAAAATTCGAACATATTAGGCATGACTGGGATGTGGATGAGAAATATACTAGAGCTGACAATTTGTGAAATATGAGATGACTAGCATCCTCTTAGCATTTCCATGGCCTATCATGAGCTGACCTTTAGAATAGAGCAAGCTGATATGCATCAGATTGACATGCGGCTTGTTCTACCCCAATTCTAGGCTATATAAATAATCTCTGGATATGATTGGATTCACTGAAGCCAAATGTTTTTTCCCTTCTTTCTATAGATCTTGTATATTAAAATGAGCTTTATGCTTCTTAGCCTGCTATGACTTAACATTATTAAGCCTAGGTCTAATGGCATTCTCTTTCCCACAGCAGTTATTCAAGAACTTTTTTTCTGATTTCTTGCCATGTTGTGTGTGCACAACTAATTATCAGACATTGCTTGATTTTAACTGCTTGGCTGTTAGGTAGAACCAACCAAGGACAATGTCAACTCCTACATGCTACAAAAGGTTTCTTAACAATCAAGACCCTGGTCCATCTAAAATTTGGGCTCTGATATGCATCTTTGGTTGCAGAAAGACAAATTATTATCTATCTCCTTTAAACATTCAAAATTGCCAATGAATGAACAATACAAGAAGCCCGTGACTTACAATTGAGCCCAAAATTTATATCACTAAGTAAGACATTTGTTAAGTGAGTTTTACCCTATTTTACAACTTTTCTTTCTTGGTTAAGCAAATCATTGCAGTTGTTAAATTGGTAATAAGGTTGTTAAGTGAATCTGGCTTCCCCACTGACTTTGCTTGTCAGAAAGTCGCAAAAGGAGATCTCATGATTCTAATCACATGAATTTGGGACACAGCAATGGTCATAAACATAAGTCAGTTGCCAAGTGTCTGAATTTTGATGATGTGATCATGGGCATGCTGAAATGGTCGTAAATGTGAAAAATGGTCATAACTCACTTCTTTCAGTACCATTGTAACTTCAAACAGTCACTAAACGAACTGTCGAAGTCGAGGACTGCCTGTATTGTGAAACATTTTACTAGGAAAGCCCCAATAGATGTTATTCTAAGGAGCTGTTTTTTTGCCACTTGGTAAAGATGGTTTTAATTTAACAAATATTTCTTACATCCTAAATATATTCTATTGCATTTGAAGCATTTTTAACTGGGGTCTCTGTTGATGTTCTTAAGTGTGATTTGAAATGCTATGAAATATAGGGCATACACACAAGAAGAATGAAACATTATTTTTATCAGGGTGTTTCCTCATCAGATGATTGGGCTATGGTGCATTTTAGACCTACCCAGTTGTCCTAAAGATGATTACAATCATCTTTCACAAAGAAATCAGAAAAGCAAAGTGCTATTGTATGAAGTTTAATTTTTATCATCTAAACAATATTGTATATTTCACATATAATCATACAGTTTGGGTAGAAAGATAAAGCTAAGGATAGTATAAATCCTGAATTAGAAACTTTTAGAAAGCACCCTTCAGATCACTATTGCTATAAACAGTGTACTTCATTTTACAGATCGAAACTCTGTTTACATTTGGCATTTCTTATAAGAAGGATGAAAAAAAAATCTAATATAAAGCTGCCCTTTGCAGTTTATTAAAACAAAAACACTAATTAGTAAAACTTAAGAAATTGTGACTGCCTCAGACAGTGATCATTCAGTTATGATGATGATTAAAAAGGTACTTTGATATCAATCTTCACATTTATAACCTTTGCAGATATGTAAAGCAAAGAAAAGCTGAAGCAAGATCATCCAGTCATGGTTTCAATTAGCAACCACACTGCTGAATGATCAAGTTGATGGCTCCAACTGTGGTTGTTAAATTAGGACAACCTATGCACACAAATATACTTATACTTACAAATATATCTTAACTTCCTTCACAACCAGAGATAATTAAGTCAAATATAATTTTCTTTAGTTTAATTTAAATTCAATTCATGTTTAATAAAAACGCATCTTGTTTCTAGCTTCTGACTCTTTAATTGGGCTTCTTAAATGGAGAAAAGCAAACCTAGAACAAAGTCTGATTTGATATTATCATCTTCCTCAACAGGCAATAGCATCTCCTCAAGCACATCCAAGCCTTTGGAAGGAATTCAACCCAAAAGAGATAAAGTAATAAAGATTCTTACCTGGTTTAAGCCATAATATTTTGCAATGCCATCTACTAAATCTGACATCAGTTTTACTTCATGTGATTTCTTATCATTCATAAAATTATCTGTATTCATTTCTACCTCTGATCAAAAAGAAACACACATTTAGCTTAAGAGTTTTGGAGGAACCTGTATCACTAAAATATTGTTACATGTGTATGTTTTTTTACAAACTATGGCTGTGCCCCAATAAATAAGTAGAAATGCTCTGAACCAATATTACAATATATTTGCTATGCAATGGTTTCTGCTTCTGACTTTCTGACAAAAGTTTCCAAAGATCTTAAATAATAATTGCAGGCTCACAAGTGTCATGTTTAAACTCTATTTGTAAGCCAGTTGAAACATAAAATTACATATCATCGCTTGATTTGCCTTTATATACTAGAACAATCAGACAGATGTCAACTCATAGAAATACCATATTGCTCCTTTTGTCCTGTGTAAAGGAAGGTCATTGCAGAGATAGGAAGAAAATAGGAGTCAAATGAGAAAGAATGATTCAAGGGCTGAGATTGCTCCCTCCCATTTGAAGTATATGCAAAATATTTATGTATTTGCTTAGAGCAAGAATATTCAGGGAATACTGAATATTTCTGGTAAAAGGAAATTCTTTCCAAAATAAGGGAAACTTTTTCTTTAATCAGCATTAAAACTACTTCACATGGAAACCACAAGCTGGAAATCCATGTGATACAGAAACAGCTTATTCTGTCTGTTTTTTTTACAAATAACTCAAGGTGGCAAATATACTTAATACTCCTTCCTCCTCCTATTTCCCCCCCCCCCACCACAATAACCCTATGAGGTAGGTTGGGCTAAGACAGGGTGACTGGCCCAAAGTCACTCAGCTCACTTTCATGGCTAAGGTGGAATTTGATTTGGAAGAGTCAATATATTACCCCCAACAATCTCTGTCCTTATTTTACCGACCTCGGAAGGATGTAAGGTTGAGTCAACCTTGACCCAGTGAGAATCTAATTGCTGGCAATCAGCAGAATTAGCTTGCAAAACTGCATTCTAGCCATTAGGCCACCATGGCTCCTAATAATTGAATTTTAAGGAAAAAGTTTTACAGTTATAAAAAACAATATACGGTAACATTAACTTACTTGATTTCTTTTTTCTGTCCATTGCTTCAAGTATCTGTTCTAATGAGATGCATACTCCAAGATTTGGCATTGAATAGAATTTAGCAGCTGATACAAAAGCCTGGACATTAATCAGCCTCTGAGTACTTTTACAAAAAATGTTGTAAAATCCAGAGTTATCTGTGTGGAAAGAACAGGAAAAAGTTTATAATAATGAAACTGGATGAAACAGGGCATCCCAGAGAAAAACTTTTCAATCAATGTACCCAAAATAGGCTAACCTAAAGCATCTGTTCTTAATCTGCAATTAAACTGAACACATTTTTCCTTCCGATTCAACAAACAGCAAAAAACCTACTAGCTTTAATACCTTCTAGATGAAAACCAAAATCTAATCTAGGAACCGTACTGAAACTAATCTTTTAATAATGTGGAAATGTTTTATTTTTCTGCTGTAAAAAGATAAAAAGTGCTGGCTTCAAAAATTGACAATAATCAATTAGATAAAATTATCAATTCCATTCAAAGAGAAATCAAACTATCTCAGTAATATTTAAAACCCAAAATACTTTCCAGAAGCTTGGAAGAGTTCCTGAAGATCAGTCCCTGAACTGCAAACAATACCAATACGCTAAATAAAGCAGAGAGAGCATCATGAAGTGTTAGCTTTTATTTATGTGTAGTAATAACTTACATATTCCCTTTATTTTTTTTACATTTCAAGGCAGGCCGCACAAAGCCGCTTCCTCCCATTTCCCCCACAACCATCATCATGTGAGATGGGTAGGACTGAGAACAAGCAACAAGACCCCCTCCAACAGTGCCGATAGCTCTGCCTCTGAAAGCATGGTTTTAAATATATCGTCACTCTTTATTAAATGTACTATGTGAATAGCTTGAGGAAAAGGAACTGTATAAATTAGGACTGGGGGCATCCTGAAACTAAGCAGATCTCAGGGCGGGGAAAGAGGGAGAGGATGAGAGAGAGAAGAGAGAGATTGCCCAGGGAATCTCCTGAGTTCCCCAAAGCAATCTTTCTCGACCTGGGCAAAGTGGGGAATCCTGGTC